GAGTGTATAACAATATTCGTGACGGGAGATCTTAAACCTCTATCCTACCTGACAAATAGTTGTCTTCAGTGAAAAGACAACAGTTTCATTAAGACACAAAATGAACAATGAACAACCACCGAAAGCAGGAAAATTATGAACACATGACTTTGGCCAAATACAAATTTTTTAGAAATACCAGATTATATAAAACTTAGCAAACATGTTTGTGTAACGTAACAAAACTCTTCCAAATGTGTTTTCAGCCAGTTGGAAGGAAAATGAATGGATGTCAAGTTTATATCTCATTCCCAGAAAGAATGTCATTAGGGCTCTTCTGGGCCCACACGATCAGAAAAATTTACGAAACAAGCAAAACGTTTAGAAATTGTTATTTATTAGGAAAATGACCTTGTTTGCAGGGACAGAAATGTAGATTTTTTAAAAGATGCCATAGGGCACCAGACAGATAATATAAGTGTGGCTTTGTAAAAACAAGTGTGCTCATATCTTTTGATGGTCCAATTAAACTTGAAACATCCCTGCAATTATATCCTTTCAATTTATTGTTTAACAACAGTAAAAATCATGTAAACCTGTTGATTTGAGAGCAGGTTTTCCTGAACGATATCATGTCTGCAAGAATAGTTCCACTTCATTTGTCCTGGACCCATAAACTAACCCACAGACTATGTTATCATCTACAACATGATTTCCTGTTATGTGCAATGGCATTCAAAATGGCCATGCCCATGTTAGGCCATGCCTTTGTTAAACAGTTTGATAGGGTGCAAAAATAAATTTTCAATTTTTGTACATGGTCAAATTTATCACATGTTCTATTAAATGAATCATAGTATTATTTTTATGCTACCAGGGTACATTGAAAATATTTCATCTGTGATTTCAACATTTACTGTGATGCACACACATACAGCACTATTTTGATCCCTATTGTTCCAACTATTGCATATTTTTGTACAAATATCAAAACTAAATATGATGGAAAGGCTAAAATCAGTCGATAGGAAAATACATAACATGAATAATAACTGAGCTGATGTTTTTAGAATATAAAGACAAAGATAATACCGCAATATGGTGGAAAATTCATCTTAGGACAGACTTGGATTTTCTCATGAAGTTTGGAATATCAGCCTATTTCACTCATGTAAACCATACTTGTGTACTTGATCACATCCAAAGTTGAAAACGTGTATCAACAAAGCAGAAACTTTACCCAAACACAAAGCCTGACATTGTTCCACTACACAGATAATGTGTATCACGAACCTCCCTTCCTAAAATGATTGTGACTCACATAAAAACTGAATTTCTTGGACCTTAGCCATTTGCAAAAACAAGGAGAGATTGATTTCTGATGCGGAGATTTTTTGCAATTTTTTATTTGTTGCTCATGAACTTAGTGTTAGAGTGAGTGATTGAGTTTAGTTTTATGCCGCTTATGGCAATATTCCAGCAATATCATGGGGAAGGACACCAGAAATGGGCTTCACACATTATACCCATCGAAACCTGATCATCCAGCAACGAGGGAATGCTTTAACCACAAGACTACCCCATTTCCTCGATTCAAGAAGGGAGGATCTAATCACCTAATCTGATAAGAGAAGTAAAAAGTAAAGGAAACATTTCCAAGCAAGCAATACAAAACTTCTGGAGTCAGGGATATAGGCTATTTGTGGGACTGTATTGTTGAAATACTCGATATTTGGAATTCTTTCATCAGTGAACACTGCATCCTTAAGAAACTGACACCAAATATGTCAAAAGGCTAGAGTCACATGAACACTGTTGACCCAGCATGTGTGAACTGATTAGGAAGACAGCACGTTCAAAACAATAGGTGTTTACACAGAATGTTCTCAAGGAAACTACATCAGAAAAATAGATTTTCCTAATACCTATATAGAACACACCCTTGAAGAAAATGTATCTTTAACTTAACATTCAAATATTAATGTGAAGCCATTAAATAAATAAATAAATAAATAAATAAATAAATAAATAAATAAATAAATAAATAAATAAATAAATAAATAAATAAATAAATAAATAAATAAATAATTAAATAAATAAATAAATACAATGAGTAAAAACATTATGGCTGATTATTACTTAAATGTTAAAAGTAGGAAGTCATGTGATGTTTAGCTGATCAAGCTGAGAAAGGCGCATCTGCCACTTCAAAGTGAACATATAACGCATGATCACCTTTCAGAATATTAAACATACATGAATAAATATAAATATGTGAAAAATATATGAGAATATTTACTGGGAAATATTAACATGACAATATTCTGCGATGAAATTCTATCCATGAATGATGTATGAGACAGTATTTTAACACCTAGCTATGTCAATTTCATTGTCAGTTCTAAAAAGAATATCCCAATCTTTAAATCAGTACTTTGTCAAAACAGGCAAACATGATAATCTGTTTAGTTTTGATCACACAGTTGAGGCTTTTTACCCTAAAAATGCCACATTTAAAAAAATATATATAGAACACATGCTATTAACATGCTTCCTCATCAGTAGGTGTCGATTTCATCCCAGTAGTTGGTCCATACATGTGGGCAGATCTGCTCATATCATTATAAATTATCATGTGACATATCATCATTATTATAATGGTCTAAGTGGTATCATTCGGTTCATTAGGGTGAGACAATGATTAACAAGCCCATGGTTCATTATCAGCGAAATGTACAACTTCTATCTAAGCATGAGGATACAATCTGATAGCTGGTATCCCTATCAGTAGACTTATTGACAACAGTATAAGCAAGCCTCATATGTCGATTACTCACAATCTGACTGTTCGTCATTCAACTGAAATGACCTGCAGATAAAACAAGTTTCAAACAAGGCATAAATATCTATATATTATACTTTTCTCCTTTCATGATCACAGAAGTATTCTTTTCAATTAAAAATATGATTACCAAATTGCAAGTTAAACCTGCTTATGGATGAAAGACTTTTCTTTCTCTGTCATTAAGTTTAATGAAAGATAATATCACAAAACATATGTTAGAGCTGCATTATAACTAATCATGAAACAATACCCCACAGGTCGGTGCTGTATAATCTCATATAATGCCATAAAACAGTCTTCCTGCTACTTAGCGTAATGTCACAATTACTGATATGCTTACCAGGCAGATATATGGTGGAGAGAAATGTCAAAGTTTGTAGAAAAAGTGAAAAGGACTAATTCCCCAGAATGATAACAATGTATGGTATGAAACATATGTTAATCAGTGTTGATACACATTAACTCATGCCTCAATCACCATCGATCAGGAGCTTTCAAAGACACACAGAGAGACTGGAGTCTTCATAACGCATGTCGCCAGTGTGATCACGTACTAATTAATGTCAATCAAGGACTTAAATTGAGTGCAGTCTCTAAATGATCTATTAACACTTTACTAAGCAAATCAATAGTCTCAGCAATAGGGCTGTGCAACATAACCGGTTTACCAGTATATACCAGTTCAGACATGAAAATGATACGTATTGCGATATGCTGATCGAAAACCGGTATTTTGACATGCATTCGGAAAACTTCGTAACACTTGGAAATCTTCGGATATTTCCGTTTTAAAATCATTCCTTTCCTTGTTTCATTTGTGCCAAACATTATTTTCATTTTTATTTTGTCATGATTAAAAGTTTTGATTAAAGCTTAATCAAGCATAGTGATTTTGTTGTGTTTTCGCTTTATAAAACAAGCATTAACTCCATTATAAGTAGTTTTTTTGTTAAATAAAACTTCTTGCAATATATTGTAATACATATTGCAATACATGCTTTCGCATCGCAGTTTATTGCAATATGAAAATTCCCTGCAATACCCTCCCCTACTCAGCAAGGACATTCCATTTGACATGAATATTGCTGACTATTTCCTGCAGGTACAGCTGGCAGTCTCCTGTGCACTCACCTATCCATATACTGGAATTCCCTGAAGGCTTTTTCAGCACAAATTCTTGAAATCCTCCCCCCACTCAAGAAAATATGAATCGGATTGTCGAGAATATTTTTTACATGTGGCTGCCTTTATGATTATGTAACCATGTGAATGTATTAATATTGTACCTGCTACTCAATTATATCACGTGATTAGATAACATAATGCTCACTCATATTGAATCTATAAAACAAATGAATATTGAGAAGGGAATGTTTTTAAGTAATAAATGCTAGGTTTTGTATTACATTTTCAATTAATGTCACATATTAGTTATGTAATACTTGAATGACACACACAAGAATCAGGTCAAAACAATCTTCCAGTTGAGGTCCTCATGGGCTCAGATCCTTTAGATAAACTTAGATTTAGTGTTTATATATATGGCGGTAAGTCTGAGATCACAGACAACTTTGGCTACAAGGGCCTCATTTATGTAATACGTACTATGAGTTTAGTTTAATCTTTCATCTAATACTGTTGAATATGTTTCAATCTGTACTTTGACAACACTACAGCATTAAAATGACTGCATGTTAATTAATCCTCTATTGATGAACAGATTCAATGGGGGTACAATAACAGTCAAGTCACATCTGTTCTTGTCTGAAGATTTCCTATCAGATATCTTTCACACCTAGATGCTATTGTACCTAAATCAAATTTTGTTTGTTTGTTTGTTAATGTCACACTCAGCAATATTCCAGCCATATGACAATGATCTGTAAATGTTTTAGTCTGGGCCAGACAATCCAATTACTGAAATCATCAGTATCAATTCACACAATTGGGATACGATGACCTGTCAACCAAGTCAGCAAGCGTGACCACCCGATACTGCTAGTCGCCTCTTTTGACAAGCATGGGTTAATGAAGACCGATTCTAAACCGGATCTTCAGGGTGACAGCATTAAGTAATGGAGAAATTTGCAGTTATTTGTCTTAGGAGAATATTCCAATCTGAAATAGACAAATGAGTTAATATCAAGACACACAGCAAACATATTCTGGTACTTACAGTGTTGGTAAGTCTTGCCAGCATCGGTACGACACCATGGTCTGTGATAACGGCAAGGTTTTCTTCATCTTTGGCTATATTGGCTATTGCGGCACACACACTGGCAAGGACTTCTTTGTCCTCAGACTTGAGGAGGCTGACGATGAGCTCCAGACCTCCCACAAACGACCTCACCATTTCCCCAGCATCCTGAACAGTTCAAGACTTAGGTTAAACAGTACACCAGTGTTTCACTTGGTCTTTGAAGTTTTGGTTTCTTTGTGAAACTATTAGTGTATGCTCAAACAAAAATAATTGATTGTAACCTGTTTGATGCTAATAAAAAAAACCTTTTAATAATTTAAAAAATAAATTGTATCTTGTACACTTTTAGCCTCAATATGAGTCATTGTTGTATGGAATGTGTGGACATTGACCACCCCAGGCATGTATTTGCTTGTTTGTTTAATGCAATGTTCCAGCTGTATGATGGTGGTCTGTTTATAATCGCATCTGGATTTGAACAATCCAGTGATTGACGTTGTGATCACTGCTCTATGCACTGGGATATGATGATATCTGGATTTTTGTTCAACGGCACACCTAGCAATATTCCAGCTTTATGATGGCAGTCTATAAATAATCGGTCTGGACCAGACAATCCAGTGATCAACAACATGAGCGTTGATCTACACAATTGGGATTCGATGAGATGTGTCAATCAAATCAGTGAGGCAGACCACCCGATCCTGTTAGTCACCTCTCAGGACAAGCATGGGTTGCTGAAGACCAATTCTATCTCGGATCTTCATGGGTAGGTGATGTGATGAAGTCGGACACTACCCATGTAAGGTGTTGATGGTAGTTTGCAGGGCTTACCTTGGCATTTTCTATGCATGGACATATGGCCCAGGCAGCACTGGCCTGGACTTCTGTGTTTTGATTCTTCAGGAGTGACCATAGCAGCCTCACACCATCTAATTTGTCAATGATGCTGAAAAATTCAATGAAATAATTACAACATAATACAACTGAAAGTAGGATGCTCAATATTTACAACTAAAACAAATCCTCTTAGTAGCAAAGAATGGAACCTTTATGCAGTGTATAATGCCAGTAGCTGGAAGGCTGGTACAGACAAACACTTGACATATTGCCATGTACAGAATTTGCTGATGGCATGCCAGGAAGAGTTATCCCCCTTTATCACCAAACCTTTCACAGCGAAACAACCATAATTTTTACATTGATCAAGCAAAACAGAGCTTATTAGTGTGAACATTCAACATAGTTTGGACTGCACATTTGACCCACAAGGATTTGACACCAAATTCCCTTGTTCAAACATTTTCAAAATTGAACTTACTGAGAGAGTGAGGCACAGGAAAATCCCCAATAGCAGCAAAACACCACTGAAATGACTGCATGAACCAAACTTACACCATGTTATCAGGCTCCTCTGCACACTGGCCAACTGCTTTCGTGACGTTGACAAGTAATGCTTGGTTTGTTCCGGTCAGCAGGTTAACTAGGGGGGATATTCCACCGGACTTTCGGATCTGTAGTCGATTTGGTGGATCTTTGGCTAGCTCCCCGAGGGCACCGACTACATTCACTAATACCTGGACACAAACAATAAGACCAATAATATGTTGTACAGCACAAAGAGTGAGAGAGTGGGTGAGTGAGTGAGTGAGTGAGTGAATTGGGTTTAAAACCACTTTCAGTATTTCAGTTACATCACAACATGCCAGATTGATGAAGGAGTGAGTGAGTGAGCCTCTTTTAGCAATATTCCAGCAATATCACAGCGGGGAACACCAGAAATGGGCTTCACACATTGTACCCATGTGGGGAATCAAACCCGGGTCTTCGGCGTGACGAAGCGAACGCTTTAACCACTAGGCTACGCCAACACCCCCTTAATGAAGAAGGACATGATGTAGGTTTCACACTGCCGCTGAAACCAGCGAGAATGGGTTGGTGACTAGAATTCTGGGATTTAAATCTGTGTCATATGTTACACTTCTACTCAGTGAAATTGTAGCACCTTAGACACCTAACCCACCTGTGCTGTATGGCAGAACCAGTGAATGATCAACATATGGTATTATATACTTTCATTTTTATCGAAACAGGCTAATGTGAATTTGTCATACCTCTTCAGGCTGGTTATTAAGCAAGCCGACAAGAATCTCTATGGCTTTGAGTGTTTGGAATCTCTGGACGTTTTCATGACTGATGGCGCACTTCCAGATTGCACCGGTGGCTGCTGCTAGGAGCTCCTTGTTCTCACTCGTGTTCAGGAGACCAACCAAGGGGTCAAGGCCACCATACTGACGCACAAGGTCACGAGTTTCTTTTTCTTCAGCACACTGTAACAAGAATTCATATCGTTGGTTACAATTTTTAACTTTCATACATGTACGTGTTACACAAATATGCAATCTAATATTGAATCTATGTATGCTAACACGTCCGTGGTTGGGATGTGTGATAAAATCAGATCATGCGACTTCAAAGAGCACAACAAAAGACATGCATTAGTACAAAATTGAATCAAACACAAAGGGAAAAGCATGTATCCTGTATATACGTCCATGCAATCCTGAAACAGAATAGGTCCAAGTTCCTAGGTATTATGGCTAGAAAATTACCATCCCTACTTTGACATTGGTCTTGAAGAGGCATACTTGTGGCAGTGTCCAACCAAACCTTACCACATTTACTTCAAGAGGTGACAATACTGTTCACTCCTTACACTGATGACATTGGTCCAGTTCTCACCTTGAATATGGCTGAAGCACAGTGCATCTGCAGCTCCTGGTTGCTGCTCTTCAGGTTCTTCACAAGGTCCTCCACCATGCCTTCTGTTCGAATAGCAAGACGGTAGCTTCGGCTGCAACAGAAGATTGTCGTTAAGTATAGCCCAGACAAAGGTCACACCTGACTCAAGAATTATATATACTTTTCGTGAATCCACAACACCATAATATGCATTACAGATTGACTCAAATTATGAGCTGGAGCATTTGAAGCAACATGATCCAAGGGAGATAACTCCTCCCCTCTACTTGATTCCCTTGAGTGAGCCCCACTGTCAGCTGTCCTCTTTCTCACAAAACTCACATGAGTTAGATAAATAAGACAATTATAGAGTCATGGTATTGTTATTAGCACCAAATTTGATTCCATGAATAGTGCACTTCCCTATTTAGGATTTCCCACTAAATTCTTTGAACACAATAACAACAGTTTCATGAATAAGGACCTATAGTTTTATTACACTGAGCAACACAGCCACTACCGTTAATTAAGATACTGTCTAAGCAATAATAAATATTAATTCAAGTACAATCGAGTTTACAAACATCAACAAATTTTTCGTTTCCTTCAGTATCATTATTACTGCAAATTTCAGACTTAAATAGGAAACATACAGGAACATCCAAGGAAGACAATGAAGTGATTGATAATCATGACTAACCTCCGATGCACACTCCTGGAAGCGTCCCAACCACTGGAATGAGCATGTCCTCAGTGGGAGACTTGAGGAGCTTGGCTAGGAGAGGGATGGCTCCAGCCTTCCTCATGGCCTCCTTGTTCTTCTTGCTCTTGCTGCAGCTCCACAGGGCCAAGGCTCCACACCGGGCCACCTCAACATCCTTCTCCATCTCGGCGTTCATCGGGCTGGTGACCACTGCACAGTCCAACAGACTCACCTGGAAAAGGAGGGGAAGGGAGAGTCTCACGTTAAAAAATGTGTCACACTGTGATTGTCAGTGGGGGGAAGGAAGGGGGATGGATATTATTACTGCCAAATATGGACAATGGTGGAAATATGAGTAAACTACTGAAGACCAGGAAGATGGACTTGTCTAAGACAGTACTTACCAATCTTCTGATGCCGCCATGTTGCCTGACTGTTCTCCTGGCACGGGGCGGAACTTGGCCACATTTGCGATGGTCTCAGCGGCAAGGCAGCGGAGTTCCTTGTCTTGGTCACGCAGGATCTTCACCATTGTCTGTAGCCCTCCAAGATCAGCGATGGCACGGCGGATTTGGATGTTGCGGGATATTTCCTTGAGAATCTTCAGTGAACCAATCTACAAAAAACAATATGCAACCATGTGTCACAAAATGGATACGTTTCATATAAAACTTTATTAACCATATCAGCTCACATTTCTGAGCAGTTACGAACATTTGATTGCCCTTTGACCTTTTTAGTGGAGTAAGTCACTCATTTTTTGGGGCCTCTTCTTATTTGGATGGGGGTGAACAAGAAAGGCTGATGGTCTAGATGAAACTGGTAAACTGACTTATAAAGTTCAAGCCCCTTGGACAAATACTGCTTCTATACTTGAATCAACAACAGGTACCTTTATCTGATATGACACAAGTCACAGAATCTATCATCAGAACCATTTAACCATCTTGATGGAGGAAATATAGGACAGATGGTCAAGGAGAATGGCTACTGTGTCTGTGACTGACCTTGCACTTGCTCTCCTCTGTATCAAGGAGGTTGATGAGGACCTCCAGCCCACCGACATCTCGGATGGCCAGCTGACATGTCTCTTGTGCCAAGTTGAAGTCCCGCAGGGAACACAATGCGATGATAGTGGCAGTCTGATTGCCTCCCTACAACACAATGTTATTTTCCAATTATGTCCCCATTTCTTACAAATAATTATGATAAAATCTTGTGTTTTTATATTTTTTAGTCAGCCCCAAACACACACATTTTCAAAAATCATTCATATTTTTTCTTGTAACTTCTTTGGGTGGTCTTGTCAACAAACAAAAACTAAAAACTATTTTGCTGTTAAATGCTGTACTCAGCTATATATATTCCAGCAATATGAGGAAGGTCTATAAATTGTTTAGACTGGACAGACAATGCAATTCGGATAAAAAGATATTCATGAAATCAATCAAGTCAGCCAGCCCTACAACCTGATCCTCTTAGTCGCCTCTTATGACAAACATGGGTTCCCGTAGGCCAGTTCAAACCCGGATCTTGATGTGCAGAAAATTTGAAAGTGAACATAAATTTGAAAAAGCATACAGCAGTGATTATCATGTACCTTGTGGTATTTGACCACCTTCTGGATGACAGTCCGAACTCTCATTTGAATGAGCTGAGACAATAAGCTTGAATAAACTAATACAGCAGTGATTATCATGTACCTTAAGGTATTTGACCAGCTTCTGGATCTGCCAGTACTCAGAAGGAAGGTCGGCATTAGCCTCTGTTCTGCGTTCTACAGCTTCCTCTTCTTCTTCACTTTCAGTAGAACTCTCGCTGAAGGAATCCTCACAGTCCACAGGAGTCTTAGACTTCAGCCTGTCAGGATAAAGTGTACACTGAATACTCCAAAAATATGTTCCACGACAGCTTTCAACAAAGATATAGATATTCTGTTCAAACATGTTCGGGCAGAAGTCCATTCATTCAGCCAGAACTTTTGACATAAACAAGGAAAGTCCCAATCAATAAAGAGAAGGCATCAGATATATGTTGTATTTAACATATTGATGGTACAACAGTCACCCTGGAACCCCAAATGCAATCCATGGGATCCCCCAAATGTACTTCTGAGACTCCACAGGGTTTGTAATGACTAAGGAGGATCTATGAGTTTCAGTGTCAAATAAGGCTGTAACGATTCACTCGTATATTCGGTGAATCGAACCGTAGCCCTTCATGAATTCAATTCGTTATTCGTGGTCACCAGAACCGAATATTAACGAATATTTACGTTTTTCCTAGGGAGCATGTTTTACTTGAACCCTTGTGTACTTTTGGAAAGTGAGATATGCAGTAATGGAATATGCCCAAGTCATGTTAGTTTGCCAACGCCACACATGGTACTGTCAATTATAACTATTACATACCAAATTTGAGTGTCATGAGATCACTGGTTATTGCTGTGACAAATCAAAACTGTCAACATGGGCGTTCAATATTGTACATCAATCACTTAACTACAATATTGTATTCGTGAATAATTATTCGTATTCGTTACCCAATAATCATGATACATATCATATTCACCACATAGTGTATTTGTTGCAGCCCTAGTGTCAAACATTTATAACTTACTTGTGGGTTTGTTTCTTGCGTGATGGAGGTTTCTTCCTCTCTCTCTGCTCCCTGTAAATAAATGAATGGTAATGAAGCAAATGTTTTACCAATTCAGCATTTATTCACACTCAAAACTAGAATTCAAATTTAACAAATGATTTACACATGAGATTTAATGACATGAACAAGGGATGTAATGATATATACATAGGATGTAATGAGATATACAAGGGAAGTAGTGATATACTCAATGGATGTAATGATATAGACAAGGGATTTACTGACATGAACAAGGGATGTAATGATATATACATAGGATATAATGAGATATACAACAAGGGATGTAATGATATGAATAAGGGATAAAATGACATACACAAGGAATGTAATGGCACACACAAGGGAAGTAGTGATATACTAAATGGATGTAATGATATAGACAAGGGATTTACTGACATGAACAAGGGACATAATCATATACTCTGGGGATGTAATGATACATTCAAGGGATGTAATGATATGAATAAGGGATAAAATGACATACACAAGGAATGTAATGACATACACAAGGGATGTAATGATATACTCAAGGGTTCTAATGATATACACAGTGGATGTAATAACACACATATTGCGTAGATCGATGCACATGTTGTTGATCACTGGATTGTCTGGTCCAGACTCAATTATTTCCAGACCGCCGCCATATAGCAGGAATATATTTGAGTGTGGCGTTAAACCACAAACCAACCAACCAATCAGTCTCTGACTAAAATCACAAACTTGACTAAACCCAACTTAGTACGGTTACCTTTTGTTAATTCACATAAAAAAAACCCCTAAAATATACTGAAATTATACTCACATCCAAGTTCAGGCTAAACACTGTTTTAGGGGACAGACTGGCATGAGTCTGGTTTAATACATTCTAAAAAAACTTCTATGACAAAACTGTGAAATCAGCTAAAGGGAGACAACTCTTGCAAAGTTAGGACCCAAGTTTTCTGTGAGTAAAATTTACACAAGAGTAACATAAAATCCTACTAGTGCAATTTGTGCATTGGAGTCTCAAGGTCTACCTCTTACTCATCAGTTATCTAAGGAAACATGAGACTTTGCTTTCACTGTCCATGATACGTTTGAGTAGACAATCTTGGACATGTGATACTGTTGATGATGTTGAAAACATACAAATTTAAGACGTCATCAATCACTGGAACATCTATTCAGCCGTATTGTCCTCCCTTGGTTTGTTAAACCAATGGCCAGTGTTAGCAAAGAATCAGTTTTTACAAACAATGGAATATTAGAAAGAAGCTGTATTTCACAATCATAAAGCGCTGTTTTAAAAAGGCCTAATTTTTTTCCATTTCCAGGAAGAATTTAGACTCTTTGTTTGTAATTAAAAAAACATCATGCACATGAAGTTTGGAAAATCAGTGCAAATATATTGATTTTGTGTAATCTGATCTCACACTAAAAAAAAGACTTTTTTAGGTGCATATGTAACAGTTATGATTGAAATTTTACATGTCTGTTTACAAAATTTCAGTTATTTCACTGCATGTTAGTTTGGTGTGGGAGAAAAGCATGAAGGGATACAACTCTTTGACGCTTACACTTTGGTGAAACGCACATGTATGAGTATGGCGCTGAGAAACCTAGGAACAAAATCAGCACAAACTGGGATTTGAACCCATATTCACACATTTCTAGCCTGCCTAAAGGGCACCTCTATATAGTATCTTGCAGTGCTGAGTGATGGGGCATCCGTGAAAAAAGATGACAAGTTCCTCCTGATGTACACAAATCAGTCTTACAATTTGGATTTCTTGCTACAGTTGGCTTCTTACACAACAGAACTGTCCCACACATAATTAATTTGTTTGATGATTGCAAAACATCCTTCGAAAATTCATGAAGCGTAATTTCTTTCTGGTTTAAATAAACAATATAAGCATGACTTCCCTTTCTTCAAACCCATTTGACCATCTCGATTGTACAATTCCAGTACTTGTTTTATGTTTGTCTGGTGGACCAGCATGCTTATCACACCCTATTCCTCCCTGAGCATTGATCACAGCACACCCTAAAGACTAGTGTTGGGAATTGGTTAAAATATCATAATTGATGATTGGTTCATTACAACTGATCAATCATCGAAAATAATTGGTTAGCGTCATTTATGAAATTTTCCTGTTTGCACAAAAACATAAAGAAAAAAACTTGTAGTTCTTTGGTTGTTTTTTCCGCAAATTTCACATCTTTAAAGGATGACTAGTATGTTAGGAACATAAATTTCTTGGGGTCTTTAAGATAAATTCAATCATGACTTGGACCGAGCTTGTAGTGCTCATGAAATGTAACAGACAAAACCAACCTTGTGAAAAATATTGTTAATGCAAAAGGTGTTTCAGAATTGTTTGTATTCGATTATGAGAAAACATGATCGATTGCTTGGTCGTTTAGTCACTGCGATCAATCTTCGATTATTTCAGTTAATCGGACCACCACTACTAAACACTGTACAATGAAGGAAACTACCACAGATGTCACCCCTCATCAGTTGTCAGGGTTATCTCCCTTCTATGTTTATATACCATAGACACATTTATAAGAGGACCTTTGTTTCTCTCTGTAATTTTGATTGGATGGCTATATTTAGCATCAATCTATTTGTATTGGGCCCTAACCGATAATATGGCAGTGAAAATCTGGGGCATTTATATTTTGACAGAGGTGTAACGGAATTGAAAATCAAGTAAAAAAAAAAACTAGTCAAAATGTAAGTCAGTTAAACCATTCAGACACTGTGTCACTGAAACAAGTCAGACACTGAATCACTGAAACTACTCAGAAAAAAGAGTCAGTGACAGTAGTCAGAAACTGAGTTAGTAAAAGCAGTCAGAAACTAAGTAAGTTAGTAAAAGCAGTCAGAAACTAAGTCAAGAAACTGAGTTAGTAAAAGCAGTCAGAAACTAAGTCAATGAAACCATTAAGAAACTGAGTCAATGAAACTACTGCGTCAAACAGAATCAATGTTTCTACATTGACAACAGATAAAACTGCAACAATCCACTCACTCTTTGTACTCCTCAACACCCAGGGCTTTCCACTTAAGTGATGGTTCAAGCTTCTTCTTCTGCTGTCTACTCTGCTTGTTTTGCTTGTCCTTATCCTGATGGGAGGTCCGCTGTTGCCAGTTCTGTTCTGTCCGATGAGTAGCATCACCATCCTCCTCGTCACGCTTCTCTTGGGACATGTCATAGTGACGGTCATCTCGGGTGTCCACACGAAGAGCGAACTCCTAAAATAATAGCAGCAACATCAAATGAAATCAACAATAATAAAGTAAATCAGCAATATAATATTGAATAGGAAATATATAATTAAATTAGCAACATTAAAATTAAAAGTGACACTTGAATTATTTAGTCATATTACATCAAACTAGTAATTAAGAAATGACATTCCTATAAAAGAATATATGTAGACCCAAGGTTCTCTAGCCTGTTGTATCCCCGTAAGGGAATCAAACCCAAGACTTTCATATGATGAGTGAAGACATTAATCACTAGTCTACCACACTGCCAAAACATAGTTTAACGTCCACTGAGCCAAACTGCCATAATAAATCAATTCTTTGATTTTCAATCCTGAACACCATTACTAAAACCCTGCCTCATATCATCTTATTGTTCCTAAATATCTGTATGTGATTACTTTTTTTTCCATTACATCCTGAATTTAACACAAAATACTCCCCCCCACTGAAAAATTACTGCTGTGTGAGAATCAAACCTGTCGACAATTAATGTAGTTGCCTGCATTAATTTGTTCTTTAAAAAACTTATTTAAAACATACAATGACAGACAATCTTTTATAAACTTGGATGAAAATGTAACAATTAATTCTTTGTGGCCTAATGGAAAATTGTTTTCTTGAAGTATGATAACTTTGAAATCTGAGACTTTGTTAGGCTGGAACACAATTTGATAAATTACTGGAAAACGTGATATGATGACGAGAATATCACAAAACAAAATTAGTAACAGTATTCTATATTTAACAAGACACATTAAATGCCATCCTGTTTTATACCCCCATAAAAGGTAGTAAAACAAATTCCTTAAAAGGTAATGAGGCAATTTAAGCTAAAAATTACATGTGACTAAGTTTGTGCAATTTGTAATAAGATTTCAAAGAGAAACTGTAAAATTAAAATTACTTGGACTTTAATGCAATAACTATTATCCTCCTTTTCAAATATGTACAAACAAAGTTGGAATTTCTGTAGGCAGTGAAAAACATTATGATTCGATATACTGTACCAAGATCGAAATTCCTCTTGAAAAGGAATTTCAATTCGAAAATTACAGTTTCACTTTGAGACCATATATTAACAAATGGCATTGTAACAGTCTCTAATTGTGAGAAAGATCTCAGCAGAGCTCCTAAAAAAGGAAAACAACGTTCTGAGGCATTCTGAGTGGGTGTGAAACTGCTGGCTATGCAAAAGTTACAAGATACACACCAACACACTCCAACAAGACAGTAGCAATGTCGGGGCGTTGTGTCACACATGGTTCAGTTTGATCCCTACTTAATGCTACTCGCTTAACATTAGCAAAACAAAACACTATTTTCCTACCACTACTTGCATGGTTTACAAACATTTTTCTTTCACTCTCTGCATTACTCCAATATTGAAAAGACGGGGTTGCCATATGTTATTTTCAACAGCATGCACGAAAAAAATCACACACAAAATAAACAGAAATATATCTGCACTCTTTGTAGGTGTTTTAAACTCCGAACTGAACTCAATTATCAATTCAGCAGTGAAATTGGCTCAAACAAGCCTACAAAGCTTTCGAGACAGCATCATTCAACATTCTTTTGTAGTCGTCCTACTATAAGGCTGTATTGGCAGAGTATCCAACAATACGTCTTCCCTGTGAAATTGTAGATTTTCATCTACATGCCAGTAACGTGCAGCTATTGATGTGTTTATTTATCTGAAGCTGAAACAATAATTCAGCACCTGCTGCTAATGCGCTCTCGACCCACCTGCTTTTCAATCATTTCAGCGAAGCGACTACTTTTAGCTTTGAGAAGTGTGACAAGATCGCGGAAGATGTCCTGCTCTGGGCGTTCGTAGTCGATCTGACCAGGCTTATCCTTGTCTGGCCCCTGCAAGAGATTTGAGAGATTAACATCATAAATTCTCAGCATCAGCAGCTCCAAGGTTTTTTCTGTGCATAATTCATTAAGTTGAAAATGTTGAGAGTTGACATGGGGATGAGGATCTCTGAAATATGAGTCATGACAAGATATTGATCTTTTTACGTCTGTCACTAAAATATGGAAAAAATCCCCTGTATATCACATACCAAAACTGACTTAAACCAGGAACATTTCTGTAGAAGTTAATAATGCTGGAATTTGACATGAACTTCCCCTTGAAATATATATAACAGAAAATCATAGTATTGAACATGTCTTAAAATAAATATATCATTAAATTTTGGTTTAAATCTAAACATGGCTCCTAAGAAATGAAATGAAAAGTTTGGAAATTTACATTATTCAGGTAGTAGCCAATTGTGTTGGCAGTGATGTAGAGTGGCTTGTCAAGGTCATGACATTTGACCTCCAGGAAGCAGATGTCACCATGCAACTGACGCCATGGCTGTGCCCGGCAACCATTCTTAAAGACAAATGTGTCACCTGAAAAACATATAAAAAATACAGATAATAGGTCATCTATTGAACAACATCTTTACAGTTGAACCTCGTCAGTCAAGAAACCTGTTAATCCAATAACCAAGCCACAATTCTGCACTCATTCAGGAACATTGATAAATGATGATCCCTATTAGGATTGTTAATATAGGAAGATAGGCATTTTTGGATAAAAGCAGTGATCGAAATTAAGCATGAACATCAAAGCATCCTTAAGGTAAATCAAATAAATATGAAACCAATGCGAATTAAGACAGAAATGCTGATTAAATCTCATATGTTTTTTTTCGTAATAAATTGATATATTTTGCTTGTGACAAATAGGCATCATCTTAATATGTTGTTTGTAAAAACACATATTGCAATATGATGAGATTATAATTCTCAGCTGAACTTCAATTTTGGAAAGGAATTTGTTTTGAAGATATTAACTCTGTAAAGTAATTCTATGAAATCGATAAGTATCCAACATTTCTTGACAGAAAACAACCTAGATCTGTCATGGTTACTATAGTTACTGAACAAACACATGTATCATATCAATAATTTATATGCATACAGTTCAAGAATTTACCACAGATTTGCTTATGATAAATCAATTCCCTGAACGCGTCCGATCATATACTAGCAACGTGACAATGTCATATTGACAAGCAGAATATCAATGTCAACGATAGTAAGGTTATCTCACCGTAGTAGCTGATGCTTTCTAGGACTGACTTCTCCTCATCTTCTCCGGACAGCTGTTGAAGGATGCTGACTTCACCGTCAACCATTGGTGGTGTCAAACGTGTCTCACTGGAAGAGATACACAGGTAAATGGTTAATTTTTAATATCAGACATTGGATTCTTTTCTGATTATTCCTTCACACGGAAATAAGTTTGAAGCCTCTTAGTGACAGTGGAATCATCATCATCATCATCCTGTTTCACTTTGCGCTTTCCTTTGACATAATCATGATTCAGCAGACATGATGGTTCATATATGAGATACATGTGTTGTTTAAGCTATTTTATTACCATCAAGGAGCAGTAGCCTAGTGGATAAAGCATTCACTCGTCACACCGAAGACCCAGGTTTGATTCCCCACATGGGTACAATGTGTGAAGCCCATTTCTGGTGTCTCCCGCTGTGATATTGCTGGAATATTGCTAAAGTGGCGTAAAACTAACTAACTCACTCACTCATTACCACCACAGACTCACAGGAGCCTGTTTTGGGGATGTCAGATTACAGCAGGTCGCTATACTCACCTATACTGGTCTCAATAAGACACCAAAAACATTCAGTGGTAATATTCAGTGGCCATAATCTTGCATGATTTAAAAGTGTATCACAACAAATTGGATGGAGTGATATGACCCCATGAAAATTCAACAGTTACAGGCCCGACTGGATTTTTACTGGCCACAGGCTAGCTGGCCAGTGGTTATTTTGCACACTGATATATGTTATATATTTCCTCAGAATGACAAAGTGTCATGTTTTAACAGCTTGCTCAAAATTAAATAAGTTTTATTTTGTTACAATTGATAATTTGAACACTACATTTGACAGTGAAATCTTTCTTCTCACAAAAAGTCATTCAAAAAAAAAGTTAAGAATACAATGTTTGTCCTTAATGCTTGAAATACTTTTTAAATTTACAAAAACAAAAGATAATGCTTAAAATACTTTATAAATTTACAAAAACAAAGGATACAGGACTTAAATTCTTGACAAAATATTTGACAAGTCAGTGCAGAGTTCATTAGCTTCAACGATATGATGCACTTGTTAAAAAACAAACAAACAGCGAAAAGATCAAAGTTTTTTTGTAAAACCGCACCCCTGTCATTGATTACGTCAAAAACGTGCAACTGAGATTGAGCGAATTTGGTTAGATATGTCGGCAAATAATTGGAGTGTTTCACACGACATCCGCACATTACTTGCTGCATGTGTGTGTGGGCATTCCGAGAAAACAAGCCTCGCCAGACAATAGCACGTCGTTATCAATCGGAGAATCGTGAAGCGATTTCACCTGTGCCTAATTCTCCGTAGGGATGTACCCTGCCACCATGCTAATACACCTCAGCATTTGGGCTGCTTCGTCTGCCTGGTAGAAATTACGATTAGATCGAAAATTCTTCACTGCACTTGTGAAAATACACTACTAGAAGTTGGTACACGCTGCAGTTTGATTCTCCCCATTGGTGCAGTATTACCGATATCACATCCTTCGTCTTTTATTGTAAAGCCTTAATTCGGATCAGATGTGTACGCACGCATACACTACTCCCCACCTGCCTCATTATAACACACAAGTTGGGAGACAAATTAATCCCAGGGAAAGGGAACTAAATTTACACAATTCAAACTCTGGATTTGTTTAGATGCCAGATTTAAAAAAATTATTCCAGCATAAGGATGATGTCTAAATTCTCTGACAATCAGAACAAAGCGTAATAGATGGTCATATTTAGGTTTGGCATTAGTTGAGGCACATGTTGAGAAAGCTGCGGCTTGTAGGAGGTATTCTCCCGGGCATGTTGATAGTAAGATGATACTCTTTGATTGTTTTGAGAGAGATAATCTAGATTAGTGCGGCTATAATTTGATTCAGAGTCGATGATGGCAGGTCAGAGCAGGTTCAGAAAATTGTGAATTCCAAGAGTTCCATTTCATGTGCGATTTTCCGATTACGTCATAAAGACAGTTCTGCTGGAAAGGCGGTGTGGCCTTTGGGCTTGCTGTTGGAAGCAGGGGAGGAGTAGGATTTCAAACATATCATTTAAATCATGAGACAATGTACAAAAAATGAGGAAATAAGAAATACTTAGAGTCGTGTATTTTTTAAGAGTCTGATATACTTCAGTGTTGGTTGGGTCAAGGTTTTAGGCATCAAAATTCATTATTTTTCAAAAAGTGAGAATAATATATATAATTAGTTTTGATTCAAAATGTGTCAGGAAGCTATCATATTTAATAATAATTGTTACCTAACTAATAGCTGAAAACTGAAAATTTATTAATTTAAAAAGATTTTTGGATTTTACATCGATTCCTATTCAAAACTAAAAACATTCTTCCAAATATCTTTTGGGATACAACTGAGGCAAATATCTGTCTGTGCATTATTGATTGTCTAAATACAAAGGATAATGTGAAATTTCTTTCAAGAAACTATATTCAACACAAACAAAGCAATGCTAAGTATAATCTAAAAACTAGTTAAATATTTAAATAAAACTAGTTAATTATTTAAATAGTTAATGTACCAACATGAGCACGTTCAGATTCAAATATCCACAACACCTAAAAATACTTTGCTTTGATAAAAAGGTAGACCACTTGCAGGCTATCAAATAGGCCTACTGGCTGTAGGAAATCACTGTTTACAAAAGTTACAATTAATTCAGCACAACCCTCAGGAACCTTTCTAGGATTCATATGGGAACATCATTATGTTTTTAAATTTCCTAAATTCAGAGGACCCGCGAAAGGTCTTGGTTAGAATATTGGCCTTCAGTAACCCATGCTTGTCGTAAGAGGCGACCAACGGGATCGGGTGGTCAGGCTCGCTGACTTGGTTGACACATGTCTTTGTATCCCAATTGCGCAGATCGATGCTCATACTGTTGATCACTGAATTGTCTGGTCCAGACCTGATTATTTACAGACCACGGACATATACCTGGAATATTGCTGAGTGAGGCGTAAAACCCAACTCACTCACGAAATTCAGAGACATCAGTGTAACTGAGCATCAAATCCTGTTCACCTTTATTGGTTTTATTATTTTATTTATGAAATTCAGGTCACCTCTATAAAACCATAATTAGTGATTGTATTAGTAACAATATTGATATGTATTGAGAAATGACAAAATCCAATTTGGCAATTTTTACTGACGTTACTGCTGAATTGGGGCCTAATATCAGCCTCTGAATAGGGTGCCATTGTATAAAGCAGGTGGTACAGCTGAGCTTAAAGATGATGATGTTGATGATCATGAGTATGTTTTAACGTTGCTTTAAGCAATATTTCAGCAATATTGCAAAGAGGGCTTCACATTGTGCCCATGTTGGTAATTGAACCCGGGTTTTCAGTGTTACGAGCTGGTGCTTTTAACCACTAGACTATCCCACCATCCCAAGCTGAGCATAAAAGTATGTCAAGTTGATTGTTTATTCACTTGACACATTTTAATCTGATAACAGACTAACATCTTGTCTCTGAAATGAACTTATTTACAGAAAATATAGTTCCTAAATTATATTCATAAAAAATAACAACCTAGATTTGCCACATGTTCTAGACTTGCATGGGCTGTATTGAGTATATAGTTTCAGGGTCTGTATGACAGAGTACACTGATAATGGAATTCTTTGTCGCATATTTTGATTTTGACATATACAATAAAGGGAATAAGGGCTCAATACTTCTCATATTGCATTGAATTCAATGTTAAAATACCTAAAAACGTAAGAAAAAATATATATTTCAAAGTAATCAATTTCTGATGCCTTTACCTGTTTTGCCTGCCACCAGAACATGGTGTGAAATCGTTTGTAACACAAATCGTTTGATCAGCATTCTAGAAGTTGGTGAGCCAATACTAAAGCATATGACTTTATGGATAACAACATTTTGCTTATTGCCTAGAGCAACTTTATGTAACTTAACATTGTTACGTTCTGTTGTTGATTTCATTTTGAAATTGGTACTTTGTGAAATATAGATCCACTCGTAAATTATCCTGTGTAACACTACCAGAAGGACAACAGTATTTTCCCCAAATATAACACTTTGCCTGCATTGCTTACCTTGAGATCTTCTGAATGCTCTGATTAAGAAGTTGTTCGTCAAGTCTCAAGAGTTTCAATCTCAGTCTCAGAACAATCTTCTTCTCCTCCACCTCGGACATCTTCGAGGTGTCTCCCTCTGCCTCGGTACCTGCTCGTGCAGCCTGTTCGATCTCCTTGGTGATCTCCTCCATGTAACGGAAGATGGAGTTGTCATCCCCCTCCACTGTAGCGAACCTCTCCCCCAGCATGTTGACAACGGGGTCGCGGTTAGCTGAACAAAACACAAAAATAATCATCTATTGGTCTCAACCATTTTTGGGAGTTAGTGTGAACAGATCTTCCATTGGGTGTCACTGTTAATCATTACATCACCTCGTACATTTCTTTTGGACAAACCCTTGTAGACAGGTAGGTAACTGCTTGTAGCTTTAACCTCTTACTATAACTGTAAAATAGGCCAAAAATGAGGCCATTGTAGACACTGAAGAGAGTGAGTTTGGTTTTACGCAGCTTTTAGCAACATTCCTGCAAAATTCCAGCAATATCATGACAGGGGGACACCACAAATGGGCTTCACACAATGTACCCATGTGGGTAATCGAACCCAGCTCTTTGGCGTGACGAGTGAATGCTTTAACCCCTAGGCTACCCACTGTCCCAGACATTGAAGTATTAACTTTGACTGCTATAGTTTCAAACTTTGCTTTTCAAAACTTGGTTGTTTCACATGGAGGGGTGGGGAGGGCTTTGCACATGTAGAGAATCAAACCTGGGCCTTCAGTGCGGTGATGGAACCATTAGGTTCCTCAAATACCCTAAAACCATGAATTAACATCAAACAAAGTGTTTGAAGAAAAGAGCTACTGGGGTCCTTGACATTTGCTCCTCTGGTATTTGAAACAGCGGACCCATAGTGAGTGAGTGAGTGAGTTTAGTTTTACGCCGCTTTTATCAATATTCCAGCTATATCACGGTGGGGTACACCAGAAATGGGCTTCACACATTGTACCCATGTGGGGAATCGAACCCAGATCTTCAGCGTGACGAGCGAACGCTTTAACCACTAGGCCACCCCCACTGCCCCCATAAACCTTTAACGCTAGTTTTGTGACAGAGGCTGCTTGATTTTCATGCTTAAATTTAATTTCAAACACAACATCTACATTTTAACTTGTAATAATGTCATATTACTGGTACATGTGGGACAGAATGATAAGTTATGTTATTGATTTCATTCTGAAATTGGTACCTTGAAAAAAATAGATGTACTCTTAAATCATTTGATGCCATGAACCAACAAAAGAAACCCCAAGTCATCATAGTTGATCATACTCTAACACAAACTTCTAAAACGGTTGTAGTGCTAAGCTTGATTTGTGTAAGTGGGCAAAAGTGGATTCGTTACAAAGACATCAACCTTTGAGGACTCATAACAAATTACTTTCTCATGCAAAATATTTATCTGAAAGTACTAAGGCTGTAACGATTCATTCGCATATTCGGTGAATTGAACCGTAGCCCTTCATGAATTCAATTCGTTATTCGTGGTTACCAGAACCGAATAAAGCGAATATTTACGATTTGTTAAGGGAGCATGTTTTACTTGAACCCTTGTGTCCTTTTGGAAAGTGACATATGCAAGAATTGAATATGTACTAGCCTTGCAGTAGCGCAAGTCATGTTAGTTTGCCAAGGCCGCACATGGTACTGTCATCTATAACTATTACATACCAAATTTGAGTGTCATGAGATCACTGGTTATTGCTGTGACAAATCAAAACTGTCAACATAGGTGTTCCACATTGTACATCAATCACTTAACTACAATATTGTATTCATGAATAATTATTCATATTCGTTACCCAATATTCATGACACGCATCATATTCCTAGCAGCCCTAGAAAGTTCTGAATAAATGTAGCTTACCCTCTAAACAGCCTCTGAGTTCCACCATCTTCTTGTCACCAGCTGACCTGAGAATGTTCTCTGTCTGTTCCAAAGACATCACGCTGACCTCATACTTATCTTTGGCTAGCTTCTTCAGCTGAAACAGGGCTTGGCCATCCTTCCCCTTTGCATCTGACTCCAAGTCTTCACCTCTGTGAAAGAAGATGCATAATGGTAGGGATGCAATTCAACATACATGATGTTAAATGATGATTTTTGTGTTTTGAAGGCCAAAAGTCAAGGGTACTTTTTAAAAATTTAAATCAAATTCAAGCATTCAAGCCCTGTTTGAATCATGTTGATCACAAAAGTGTAAAGGACTGGACCACACTTTCTCTTCAAAAATTTCATTATGAATATAGAAAGAATGGGGATTGCTATCATGGTCTAGTGGATAGACTGTCTACCCAGGTTGTTTGATCTCTGTTTGTGTCCTACCAAATGTGAATGCACTTCCCTATAACATATAAGTGGAGTAATCTTGAATATGATGTTCACTTTTCACATCACTACAAAAGAAACAGATGATGAATAAGAAAAGGATCATATAAGAGGGGTAAATAATAGCTGCATTAATAACTGATGCCTACTTTTCAACATATGCTCCTGACGAGAATTGTGATGGCAGTAGAGATGTTTTCCATGTGAAAGGCTTCTTGAATACGAGTTTGGCTTCCTCTGGACTTTTACCACTAAATCCTTCAACAAACTGGAGGATTGTGTGCAGCAGCTCTTCATTCGTTGGAGTGAACTCAAGCTTTCCGCCGGAACCATCTCGGGCAGATGTCCACTGTGCTGCTCTCTGTAGAGCCTGACCCATGGTCAATCAGTTGATAGACGACTGGCTCACGTGGTCAAGCGTATCTGAATCAGAATTGAAAGTGTCATCATCATATCCTAATATCAAAGTGATAAGTGAGCATCCAAATTTTGGATTTCTGGCAACTGTATGTAAACCTTAGGTTGCTAAATGTACATTATTATTGTCAAATGCTCCTTTCTTACCTGCAAAGATCATTATATACAAAGATGTGGCCTAATTAGAACACATACCATTCCAGACATTTGGTTAAAGCAATGTAATGAATGAGTCAACATGCTGGGTGCACAATGCCTTTGCTGATACGTTCGTTTTACTTAATTTTCACGTATATTTCATGATTAGAGACGCAATTAATTACGGTCAACAGTATATGCAATTACCAACTAACAATGGATTACGTGAAAATCTGTTAGGTCGTTTATGGGAAGTTCCCACTTATATTGTTTGTTGGGCTTTGCAAAGTATGCAAAGCTATACATAGTAGTATTAATAGAGTTAATCCACTCACAAAGTTACCCTCTAACCTTCGCAAGCATTGCTGTTAATAGTTAAATAACAAAATACTACATGAGTACATATACATAGGATACATTGGACTAACGACAGTTAGAATATCTTATGTTGTTGAAAATGGGTGAAACTTCGCACTCGCAGTGCGACCTGGGCCAACTATGAGCGTAACTTTCTCCAATTATATTTCAGAATAGTGAAGCTTTACATAAAACAACTGGGAAAAGAAAAGTATTAATAATATCTCAACTACCTTCTCCTCCTGCGAAATACCTGCAAAGTGACAACAACAGAGTAAAAGAGAAAAATATACACCTGAATATTCCCGCTGATTGCTTATAACTGTGTCCTGCAGCAACGGTTGCTAGGCTAGGTGCTCCTGCGCGACAGGAAGTTTCAAAGGGAAATAATTATAGCAGAGACGTTATAGCGCACCACTAGAAAATATATTTCGCGAATCATTGCGTCTCTAATAATCTTTCCTTAATTTACAAATTTACATTTAAATTTCACACAGGGTTGAACATAAGCTTCATGCTTGTGTAATTCTAAACTAGCTTTTAAAATACGTTTTAGCAAAACCACAGTTGCCGTCAGTATCAATTTTCACTATAAAACTAAGATAATAAAACTAAGATTTACAAAACATTCTTTTCGTTATGCCCTCTTTAATATTTTCGTCCTAAAATAATTCATCATACTGTTGTGTCATGAATGGTATTGAATCTTTACTATATTTCAAAACTTTCTCACCAGAATCAACGTTTCACATTCACAGAGTATATGGATTAGATTTTCATTAAAAAAAAATCTAAATTAAATAGTGCGGAATTATTTTTATGGATTAGATATGTATCCGCATATAGTTTCTATATACATAAACACATTTCTTCACTATTTAATTTGCTTATTTTGTAATGACAGTTTGATCAGTACGTTTACCCAGGAAGTAGTTATATATCAAGAAACGAATTTGTGTTTCTAAGATATAATTGTGTTGATTTGTTTGAGAATGGTTATAAAACGTTTACCAGTCGCATCACTCTTTGATATTCGCCTCTGAAACTTCTTATCTATCACATCACGTGTAACGAAATAAACATTCACCAATACGATTAAAATGATATTTACACAAGATCGTTCTCACAAATCTAGAGTTGCTCTAGCAGTCTTTTTTCCAGTTCAGACAGTGGAACGTATGAATGAAGGAGTTATTTGTTGACGATAACCCTTACGATGGATGTGTTTATTGTCAAAACGGACAGAAGAGTGCGCGGGCAGTATATCTTGGCTAGGACACCAGGGTCCAAAATTGCTGCCCGACCCCCACCCGGTTTTCCAGGGGGGAGAAACTTTATTTTCAGGCATAAACATTTGCAGGAAGAAAATGAAGCTATATTGTGTCCAAATGCGAAAACAAATCGACTTGGGGAAAGCGTCATCCAGAGGACTGGAATCATGTTAAGAATGAGAAAAAGCACTAATACAATAAACAAAAGCCAAGCGTTGATTCTAGAGACCTCATACGATACCACCCCATGTGGGGGGTTCAACATGGGTGGGGAAGATTGTTGTTTCGAAATGAGGCTCTACACGAATGGGCCAATCATCGAGACTAATCGGCTGGTTTCAAACATCTGTCTATACTTCGCCGACTAATCGAGTCATTCTATTGGCATAATAGACTTGATTTTTAACTGGGAAAAAACGTCTGTGGCTTTGTTTCTTGGTTTAAATGAGGCAGTGTTTAGGTGGGGCAATTATTGTCTGTTATTGAATTTCGGCACAGGTGGAAATGAGTTGTTCAAGGTGGATCATTGAAAGAAGTTGAAGAAACGTGATTTCACTGGGGCTCTGGACGAGTGGCATTAATTGTTGAGTTTAAACTAAGGTTTGAAATAAGTGTTAGGGTTGAAATGAGTTACTGTCAAATAATTGTTTGTTTTAAACAGCTAAAAAACAGGAACAGGTGGCACAAGTCTCTTATTTCGAATGAAAGTTGATTTTAAAAAATGTCAAATACAATTAGCATAGATGCCAAACGTTAGATTAAAAGTGGCCCATCTAACTCAAGTTTAATTATATATATTGTTGGGGTAATCAATGTTTAGGATTAACATAAATCTAACAGTAAAGCTCATTCCATTAATAGCCCTGGGCCTAGATTTTCGAAGCTCTCTTAGTGCTAAGATAGTCGTAAGTTAATGTTAATGCATGGTACATACGACTATCGTAACGCTAAGAGAGCTTCGAAAATCTAGGCCCAGGCACATATTTCTCAAGTCATACAGAACAACGGCGATACAGTCAAATCACTTCTCTTTGGGAAATATAGTTCTATGTTATTTCCTTTCCTTGAATAACTGACTTGTTCGTGCATTCTTGAACTACATGTTAATGCAGGTAGGAATATAAGCTGTTATTCTTTACACCTTAAAGTTAATAACAAAACTTTATCCGAGAAGAATAGTTTTTGTGTGCTGCTCTGTCTTGAACATAACATGCATGTTGATTCATGTTTCATTAGATTGTAACACACACTGATAATTTTATATCACGAAATAAAATGATATTTTATAACTGCACGGCGTTTATTTCATATGAACATAGAGAGGGTCCTCTAGAATTTTACAGATTTTTAATCAAATCTTTAAATGCTTTCGGAATTCATTGCCCAGCTATAGAAACGAAGCTGGTTATAAGCCAGTCACAAAGTGGGGCAGATTTTGATCCTTGGGTTAGGCAAAGCTGTCATACAATCACCATATTAAAGCTAAACCCTCTCTTTGAAACACGAGCGAAATAATCTCCGCGAGTCGAGATCAATTGGGTATTTGATGTGAATCGTGGCACAGTGCAAATTACGGATAACTAACAAAGTTGCCTGTAGCCAAGTTTGACAACTTCAGAAGCAACAGCCACGAAATATCGTGTTTGATGTGATCATTATCCAATGCGATATTAAATCAATACAAACGTGTGAAATAATTTTTTTAAGTTCGGGGCTAAAAATGTCTCTCTCTCACTCACTCTCTCTTCTCTCTCTCTCTCTCTCTCTCTCTCTCTCTCTCTCACTCTCTCTCTCTCTCTCTCTCTCTCTCTCTCTCTCTCTCTCTCTCACTCTCTTCTCTCTCTCACTCTCACTCGCTTTCTTCTCTCTCTCTCACTCTCTTCTCTCTCTCCCTCTCTCCCCTGGGGTTCATTCATCACGCAGAAGACCCGGGTTCTATTCACCACATGGATACAATGTGTGTCCCCCGACGTGGTATTCCTATTTTACTGCGAAAAGCGGCGTAAAACCCGACTCTCTCTCATCGCTTCATTTCTCCCGCTTACGAAATACCTTTTGAATACCTCTCAGTTTGAAAACCGTTTTGTGCCATTGTTTAATTTTAGACACAACGAAATATACCTATAAAACGTATTAAGCATGAATATCATTGCGGATAAACAAATCATCAAAATGTGACTCATATAATTATGATATTTATACTACAATAAACCATGTCTATTAAAACACAAATTATACTCGGAAATAAGATCCGTTAATGTTAGCTGTGTGTAGGACATTCACGAACAGCTCCAGTCGGGCACTCTACCGTCGAACCGTTCTAGCGTTGCCGGGCGAATGCGGAGCTCGATCGATCGGTAACCCTCGCCACATTGTCTATCACCAAAGCAGCAGCACACGGAACCCACAGGGCTGGTTTAATATCACAATGGATCTGAAATACGACGGTTCTAGTTACACGGTAAACCGTTATTCAGACGATTTTACATTTCAAAATAACTGGAAAATAATTATTTTGAGAAATCGCCTATAGTAAATTTAGAAATGCAGAATGAACATTTTCTGCGATCAGTTCCATGTCATTTTAGTTCGATAAACGTGATGTTTTTAGAAGTTATTAAATTATTGCGTCTTGGATTAATCTTGGCTTTCTATTTCTATTCTATTCTATTTCTCACCATTACGAACTACTCTTCGACCATTTAGTACTGGCTTTTTGGAATAATACACGGCTTATAAAGCTATCGCCATTAAATTAAACATAAACTTTCTCAAAATAAAAATAAATATAAATGATAATAGCGTCGTATATTTATTGTGTTGCCTATGAACTAAATGCAAATAGTATGAATATTCACATTTGACAGTTTTATCAGTTGAGGAATTTCAATGCCTAAATGTTTTTTGCTGTATTTAAATTCACATTTCATGAAGCCATCCATGTATATGGTGTACAATGTTTCGAAATGACACGAGAATCTTTTCATATATGTTTTACATTTTACGTTTTAATCTGTCCTATTTAACCCGTTAGAATTCTTTAATATTTGTTCAATTAAATGTTTCGTTTTAACTTAACTCATGTCTGCATTCCTGAACCGTATACGTTTACGAACGATGCTGTTTTTAACAACCGGATGGGTCGGTTTGTGATTAAACATGTTATTACCGTGTTGATATTCCTGTGTGAATACTGTGTATATAATTGCGGTCATTATCGTTTGTAAACTGATGTATTTTTGTGTTCATTATCAGGTGTAAATTAACTTAAATGTGTGAATACTCAGTTTATATTTGTATCAGTGTCAATTGTAAACTGACCTACGTGTGTGAATACTCACTTTATATTTGTATCACTGTCAACTGTAAACTGACCTACGGGTGTGAATACTGTGTTTATATTTGTATCACTGTCAACTGTAAACTGACCTACGTGTGTGAATACTGTGTTTATATTTGTATCACTGTCAACTGTAAACTGACCTATAGGTGTGTGAATACTCAGTTTATATTTGCATTCATTGTCAATTGTAAACTGACCTACGTGTGTGAATACTCACTTTATATTTGCATTCATTGTCAGCTGTAAACTGACCTACGTGTGTGAATACTCACTTTATATTTGCATTCACTGTCAACTGTAAACTGACCTACGTGTGTGAATACTCACTTTATATTTGCATTCACTGTCAACTGTAAACTGACCTGTGTAAATACTCACTTTATATTTGTTCACTGTCAACTGTAAACTGACCTATACTACTCACTTTATATTTGCATTCACTGTCAACTGTAAACTGACCTACGTGTGTGAATACTCACTTTATATTTGCATTCACTGTCAACTGTAAACTGACCTACGTGTGTGAATACTCACTTTATATTTGCATTCACTGTCAACTGTAAACTGACCTACGTGTGTAAATACTCACTTTATATTTGCATTCACTGTCAATTGTAAACTGACCTACGTGTGTGAATACTCACTTTATATTTGCATTCACTGTCAACTGTAAACTGACCTACGTGTGTAAATACTCACTTTATATTTGCATTCACTGTCAATTG